GTGGTTCAGAGCTGACAGGAGTGGCTCTGACTCCTGCCCCTGTGTGGGACACTGCCCCATAAACAGGACAGCAGCCCGATTCGGTGGGGCCCCAGCTCTGAGCACCCCACTCCACCCAGGGTGCCTCTGTACCGCTTCCTGCCCCACCTGCAGTAAAAGCATTTTCCCTGCACTCTGGTCTGGCTGCTCTTCCTCTTTCTGGATCAGAGACACAGGGTGGTGAGGGTGTCTGGGGACCCCCCGGGCACAGACCCTCAGACAAAACAGCAATGAAGCCCTGAGATGTTAGCAAGACCAGTGACCTCGTCACATCAGAGGTCACAGTGCATTCATGTCACACCCAGTTACAGTAGAAGTCTTCAGATACCCATGTGCTCTTCAGTTAGAAACGAGGGAGGAACACACGTGCTGCTGTGGACTCCCATTCTGCCTTGGCTTGAGAGAAGCTTGCGCGTATATTCGCATCACAGCTTGATTCCTAATGCATTTTGAAGCACTGGTGGTTTTATTGGCTTCGTCCTGAACACTTCCTCCAGGTCCTGAAGACACCTCTCAGCTTCCAGACTGCCCGAGGGGTCCTGGCAGAGAAGGTGAGAACCAAGGAAAGCGGCCTGTCCTGGGGTGAGGTAGCTGGTTCCCAGAGGACTCTGCAGGGTCTGCGTGGCAACGGCCAGTCCCGGCAGGGTGTTGCAGCGGGCAGGGCAGAGCTCAGATCGTCAACTGCTGGACTCAGTCCTGCCCACCCCTGGCACCAGGCACACGGCACAGCACCTGGTACAGAGGCACCGAGTCAAATCTGTCAGACAAATGACTCCCGGGGAGAGGGCAGGAAGAACGGGGCCGATTGAGGTGTGCTTCAGTTCACCTTGCACACTTGCCTCAGGCACTCTTGCCAAACACACACACCAGAGGGAAGTAGCTCCTGGGTCTCACCCTACACAGTTCCAAATTCAGCGGGCAAAGGCCTGGACCTGAGCCGGGCCACCTTCTCACCCAGGCCTTGGGCTCTGTGATGGTTCACCTCACGTTCCTTTCTGACATGCCCAAAGCCCAGGCATCTGGCCAAACATCACTGCACACCTGCACGTCTCCCTTCCCAGTGCGGGGCCTCATCGGACCCCAGAGTGCAGATGACAAAGCGGAGGGAGGTCTCCTCCCCGCCATCCCCGGCTCAGAAATCCGTTCTCCTGCTGGGGACTCAGCCCACAGAGGCCACACTGTCGTGTCCTGACTCGTGGGCCTCTGAGCCAGGCCCCACGCTCCTCCTGTGTCTTCTGCTCCCGAGTCGGCTGACTGTGGACCTCGGGCCTCTCCCACCCACAGTCGCAGAGCCAGCCCTCAGTGCTCTGGAGAACCCCACAGTCTTGGGATGGAAATGAGCTCCTGGGGCAGCCGTCCGCCCACGGGAGTGTTAGGAAGCCATCATTCGGAGCAGAAGGGTCTCCCCGGTCAGCTGGAACTCTCTCCATCTCCATCGGACGTCTCTGCTCCACCCAGCATCACACTCAGCTCACACTCAGAGCCCCGAGGGTCGGTATTTCAGCTTGTGAAGAGCGTCATTCTCATTGACCACGTCGGTCCCGGGGCCTCCGGGGGCCTGACGGCCGGGACCTCGTGTAAGAGGAGCACACTTTCTGTGTGCGCCTGGTTTGCTCAGCAGTGGGCCGAGGCCGCTTTGGGTCCCTTGGGGCAGCTTCCTTATCAGGCCTGCCTCAGGGGCAGAGCAGAACCAGCTTGCCATTTCCACTGCCTCGTGGGACAGGCAACAAGGTACTGCTTCTGCATGGTTTCCCCCTCCCAGGGTAGGCGCGACCCCTGTGCTCCCTGCAAGGAAGCCCACAGCTTTTGAAACCCGCACGGCCTCCATCGGGGTCACGCGGGGTGTCAGTCTCTGTCCACTGCCCGTCCTGCTCAGCAAGCAGAGACGTGCAGCAGCCGGCGACCAGCCCAGTCTCAGTCTAACCCAGATTCTTCTTCTTTCTTCCCCCAAGAATGCAGAACCTGATGACCTGTGTCTGGCCAGAACAGTGCCACCAATGGGCCCACTGCTTCAGAACTGGGGCAGTCATAGATCCGTGCACCTCCTCCCCGTGGGATGTCCTGTGAGCAAGAGTAGGGTGATGGAGCACTGGCACTGGCGTGACTCCTGATCCCTGATAGTTGGGCAACATTACGGGCTCTGTCCAGCTTGCTCAGGGTGTGACTTCCTGTGCTTGCTTCGACAGCACATATGCTAAAGCAGGGTGCGACTTCCTTTCCTAGAAGTGGGCCACCAGCAGTCGTGCAATGGGAGCAACGGGAGCCACAGGTCGGCAATGGGTCCCTGCGAAAGCTGCAGCCTGGGACTCAGCCAGCAGCTTCAGCAGCTTTGCCCAGGAGCCCTCAGCCAGGTCTCTGGCCAGGGCTGGTGGCAGGGGGAAGCCAGGCGGAAATGAAGCCTTCGAGCCCTCGTCCAGGCTGGTAGAAGCTGGGAGGGGTCCCCCAGCAAGCTCTGCCCATGTCCAGGGACAGCTGCGTCCTCACCCAGGCACTGCTGGTGCCTAGTGGGTGCAGGGCAAGGGTGGGCAGACCTCACTGTGCACGGGACCTGGCATCGTACCAGTGCCCACCTGAGCAGCCCTGGCTCTGCCTGTGGCGGTGGTCACAGAGGGTTGTGTCTGCAGGCACAGCAGAGAGAGAGGCAGCAATGGGGACAGGCTGCTGAGGAGGAGGCGGGAAAGACAGGGGACCCAGGCTCCCGGCTGCTCCTCTGGAAGGAAGCACAGGGCTCTGGCCAGCCAGGAGCTCAGCTGGCTGCCGGGGAGGCTCCCAGAGAACAAGTGCAGCCTGGAGCCGGAACCAGGCAGCTCTGGGGACCGGAGAGGAGAGGCCAAGGCCTGGGTACGGACCCAGGGTGGGGTATCAGCATCCTCCCCAGCCCGGTGCTTCCGCCCCGAGGGCCTGGCTACGCACACCAGTTCCAACATCGTGTTTACAGACAATAAAGGTAGTTGATCACATGGTGAGTGACAGGACCATGCATCCTGGCCATGTCCGTTGGCCTTTCCTGTCTTTTTTGTAAATTGGCCGGTGCACACTGTCGATCCCTTTTCTATTCTAGACATTCTCTACTTTTCTACAGACAGAGAGGGCCTTGGGCTACAGTGTGGCTTTTACCCCTGCTCACGCATTCATAAAAATCTCTCCACAGTTTAGCTTCTCTGGATGTCCTTTAATGTGGCAGATCTTTATCCTTAAGGATCCAAACTGTGGATTCTCAGGCCAGAAGAGACTTTTCCTTCTCAAGGAGTATAAAAATGCTCATTAGCCTGATGTATGATGCACACCTGTGATCCCAGTGCTCAGGAGGCTGAGGCAGGAGGATCACTGCAACTTTCAGGCCAGTCTAGGCTACATGATGGGTTCATGGCCAGCCTGAACTAACAAATGAGACTCTTTCAAAAAAAAAAAAATCACTCTTCTACATTTTCTTAGGGCATTAGATTCTTTTTTAAACTTTCACCCATTTAAAATCTATTTTTGTATGTGATTTTATTCTGCAGTTTTGGTGCTCATTATTGGATAATGCACTTCCAGCCACTCTCCCGCAAACACACCTCTAATACCCACATCCAAAGAGAACGAGCACTTTTTTCCTTCAGATCTGTTGGTACTTTATTGTGCCCAAGTCACGTTCTTTTAACCACTGTGGCTTTGTAATATGTTTGCTATCAAATAAAGCAAATCTGTGTTATTTTATAATAAAAAAGATGTGAAGCTGCATATTTATGTACAGAGCGAATGAGGAAGTGTGTGTGTGTGTGAGTGTGTGTGTGTGTGTGTGTGTGTGTGTGTGTACATATGTATGCTCTTGCTTTGTTTTAGGACACAGAGTTTCACTGTGTAGTCCAGACTGGCCTTGAACTTGTGATCCTCCTGCCTCAGCCTCCTGAGTACTGGGAAAATGGGCTGCTCCACCACCCTGCAAGGGCAGCCTTCCCGTGGAAGCTGTTGGGGAGGGGCCTCATCAGACCCATGAGAAGTCTGAGCAGGGCCCTGAGCAGTTTCCAGGAAAGTCTGCAAAAATCAAAGGGAGGCTGGGAGGCTAGAGGCCTGTGGGCAGAACAGCTGGCTGGGGTTGGAGTCTCAGACCCCAAGGGTCCCGGAGAGCACAGAGGTAGGAACAGTCCCTAAGAGCAGACCTGGGGCTGCCACGGATCCCGGACGCGGGGATGTCCACCCAGGCGGGGCCCACCTGTCCTCACCGCAGTCTTCCGTGGGAACAGACATCACAGTGCAGCCTCACCTACAGCGCTCTGCCACTCAGCCACCGCCAAGGCCCCTTCATCCTGCCCAAGCCCACACCGTGCACACACACCCGTGCCCCTGCCCCGCCCTGCCCACGCCTGTGCATGTGCAGTCCTGGCTGGCCAAGCCCCTCTCTCAGGACCTCCTCTGGACTTGGCCGTCTCTGCAGCCTGGCACCACGGGTCTCGGACAGGACCAGGGGCTACTGCTCCTGCCACACGTGTCAGAGAGCCACAGCAAAGCCAGCCCCACACAGCCTGTCTGCACTTCTGCCCGGGGTCACTCGGAGGGGCTGCTGCTGGGCAGTGGGCAGGAGGCAGGGGCACACCTGGCATCCCAGCATTGAGGGAGGCTGAGGCAGGAGCATGCAAGTTCAAGTCCTGCCAGGGCAATTGAGGGAGACCTTGTCTCTAATTAAAAATAAAAGAGCAGCTGGGGACATGACAAGCTGAGTGGTAGAGCAGCCCTAGGTTCCATCCCCTGAGGAGAGAGGGGACAGGAGCGAGGGGGGAGAGAGAGAGAGAGAGAGAGAGAGAGAGAGAGAGAGAGAGAGAGAGAGAGACAAGAAAGGGTCAGGATCCCAACGTGCCTTTAGTGCCACACCCTTGGAGCGAGGGGAGAGAGAGAGAGAGAGAGAGAGAGAGAGAGAGAGAGAGAGAGGTACCCAGGCAGAAGACACGGCTCAAGAGCCAGCGAGCCCAGTGGGTCAGCCGATGCAGGAAGGTCTCCACGTCGCCCTGTTCCAGGGACTGGGGACCGGGACCACAGGCCTGCTGTGTCACGGCACGGTATAGAGAGGGATCCCTGGGCCGGAGGGAAGGGCAGGGTGCTGTGCCTGGCTCTGGGTTCCCCTGCTGGGTTTGGGGTGGCTCCCTACCAGGGGCCGGGCCGGGGCGCAGCAGCGCCCGCTCCCCTTTCTCTCGGATCCAGGCAATATGTGCCAAGCTGCAGTCCCAGCCTCCTCGGCTTGCCACGCCTCCTGGCTCGCCACGCCCCCTGGACTCACGGAGCGCGTCGCCTTCCGCGAGCCAGCAGCGCGCAGGTGAGAGGGAGACAGCGCCTCAACGAGCGGGGAGGACTGGGAGCCGGGAACCGGGTGGCTGGAGGGGTCCCTCTTTCCCGGCGCCGGATGAGAGGTTGCCAAGCTGCAGTCCCAGCCTCCTCGGCTTGCCACGCCTCCTGGCTCGCCACGCCCCCTGGACTCACGGAGCGCGTCGCCTTCCGCGAGCCAGCAGCGCGCAGGTGAGAGGGAGACAGCGCCTCAACGAGCGGGGAGGACTGGGAGCCGGGAACCGGGTGGCTGGAGGGGTCCCTCTTTCCCGGCGCCGGATGAGAGGTCCTGTCCGGGGGGCTGGAGGTGCTCTCCCGGGTCCGCGCGGTGGAGGAGGGGCGGTGGCCGAGGGATTGGCGCCCAGAGCTCTGCCCCGAGACTGACCCGGGTGCTCCTGTGCAGGTGCGAGCCCGAACCGCGCCGCGTCGCCG